ACTTTTTCCTGAACACATCTCCTCAGGCAAGGGAAACAAAACAAAAATGAACAAATGGGACTACATCAAACTAAAAAGCTCCTGTACAGCAAAGGACACCGTCAGTAGAACAAAAAGCCATCCTACGGTATGGGAGAATATGTTTATAAATGACATATCCCACAAGGTGTTAACATCCAAAATATATAAAGAATTCACACTCCTCAACACCCAAAAAGCAAATAACCAGATTAAAAAATGGGCAGAGGATATGAAGACACTTCTCTAAGGAAGAAATTCAGATGGCCAACAGGCACACGAAATATACTTCACATCGCTAATTATCAGGGAAATGCAAATTAAAACCACAATGAGATATCACCTCACACAAGTTAGGATGGCCAACATCCAAAAGACAAGAAATAATTGCTGGCAAGGATGTGGAAAAAGGAGAACTCTCCTATACTGTTGGTGGGAATGTAAATTGTTCAACCATTATGGAAAGCAATATGGAGGTTCCTCAAAAAACTAAAACTAGGAATACCATTTGACTCAGAAATTCCATTCCTAGGAATTTCCTGAAGGAATCAAGATCCTTGATTTAAAAAGACATATGCACCCCTATGTTTACTGCAGCACTATTTACAATAGCCAAGATATGGAAGCAACCTAAGTGTCTATCAGTAGATGGATGAAGAAGAGGTTGTACATATATACAATGGAAAATATTATTCATCCATAAGAAGAAAATAAATCCTACCATTTGCAACAGCATGGGTGGAGCTAGAGGGTATTATGCTCAGTGAAATAAGATAGACTGAGAAAGACAAGTATCAAATGATTTCACTCATTTGTGTAGTATAACAACAAAGCAAAACTGAAGGAACAAAATAGCAGCAGATCCACAGACTCTAAGAGAGGACTAGTGGTTACCAAAGGTTGGTGGTGGGTTACCAAATGGGTTGGGTGGGAAGGGAAGGAGAAGGGGATTAAGGATCATTATGATTAGCACATAGAATATAGGGTCACAGAGAAGGCAGTATAGCACAGAGAAGACAAATAGTGACTCTACAGCATCTTACTATGCTGATGGACAGTGACTGCAGTAGGGTGCATGCGGGGGACTTGATAATATGGGTGAATGTAATAGCTACAATGTTGGTGTCATGTGAAACCTTTATAAGATTGTATATTAATGATACCTTAATAAAAAAAAAACACTCCTCATGTCACCCACAAGGCTGACAGTTTTTGGGTGTGGTCTCCCTACCCCTTCCTGTCATCACAATGAAATGGCTCTCAGACTACTCAGCAATTCAGGCCAGGATGAATCAGACTGATCTTTTCTACTTCTGATCCGCACCGACTGGCAGAGATAAAAACACTGGCTATTCTAGTTCTTGTCTCTCAACCCTGCCCATTTCTTTTCATTCATTTTGCCAATAATGCATTAAGACATCCTTTTTTTGTTTTCAACTCATGTTTTGCAACAGTATTTTGGCTGGCTTCCATCCATTTGTTTCTACATAGGATTGCTAGAAAGTACTTTATAATATGTGATTTTGAACTTATTACTCTTTTATTTAAAATATTTCACTTGAGTGCTTATTGATAATAGGATAAAGTACAACCAACTCCTTATAAAGTAACAGCAGAGGTATACTCAATTTTTCTTTGATTTGTAGCTTTGGTGTCATTTATATTCTTAATTATAGCTATTAAATTCAGTCAGAAAGAATGCTAACGAAAGGTGAATGCATTTGAAAGGTAAAAATCTCAGTGAATGGGTCAACTCTATTGTTCATAATATTTTAATAAAAGTATCTTATCCACAAATAGCCAAAGACTATTTTTACTTCTACTCATGGTAACTAAAGAAATGGTATATATGATGTTTATTTTATTCTCTCCTTTTGCAACAATATGCTTGTAGGTTCTGTGGGTCAATTCTGTGTACAGATTGGATTTTTTCATTAAAAATGTGCAAAGAATTACTGTCATAGGGCAAGTGATCATTTCTTTAATCAAACACTATAATTCCAATTATATTAGAAGAAAGTGAGGTAATCAGCATGAGGAACTCATTAGCACTAAAGGAACATAATATTGGTTTACTGGTCTAGAATGAGCAATAATATGGTCTCACACATAATATATTTTGATTCTGCCAAAATACAACCTTTGGTTATGGTGATACCAACTGATGAAATGAACTATGTCCCAGAAACATGTATAGCTAATATTAGTGAGCTGTGCATAATCACAGGACACACTGATGATAGATATTTTATTATCTTATATATGGTAAAATTCTTTTCATTATAAATAATATGTAGTTTCCTGAAGTGTATAAAATGTTTACTTAAACACACACTGATGAGTAAGCTATTTGTCTTTTGCATAAAGACATTATTTGAATTGGTTACTTTAGGAGATTTCTTAATCAGTAGAAAGAAAATAAAATATCAACTCTATTATAATAGCGAGTTGATCATATCACACTTACTGCATAGCCCACTGTCACAGTTACCAGGGCAACCGGCACAAGGTGTTCCTTGATGGTAAGGGGTATTCTTTCTACTCATGTTATTACCACTGAAATTTAAAATACATAATGTCAAATAATTTTCATTTTGCTGTTTAGTTTACATGCTCTTAAAGCAATTATCCATCAAAAAATATATATAGTTATTAGATGTTTTTATATACATTAACAAAACTGAAAAATTACGATTTCCAATGTGTAATTCAAGTAACATCCAAATTAAGAAAATTCATAACATGTTGACCATCTCCTTGACAGTAATTCTGTAGGCTAAGCAATTACATTGTACACCAGGAGTCTAAAGTTTCCAGTATATTTCAACCTAGCAACATTCTCTTCACCTCCAGGGGACTTGGCCAGTCTGTAAGGCAGTAACCCAGTGTGCCAGCGGGGGTAGAACACATGCCCTGGAGGGACACAAGAGGCTCCTGGGGGCAGGGCCATTGTGGTATGGAAATGAGTACTCAGTATTACAATATTTTTTTATTTGAAAGATGATAGAATATTGTAATTTCTCTAATATGAACTAGGGACACTAAGGCTCCAGTGACTTCTAGATGTGGGGGTGATATTTAAGTAGAGTTGCGTGTGTTCGTGGGGCAGGGAGAGCTGGGGAAGGTTTGTGAATTTCTAGATGTAGTGAGTGTGACATTTTTTATGTTTACTAAATAAGGAATATTAATTTTACTAGTTTTGATAAACAGCAATATCCAGGGTATAATCATCTTACAGTGACCGATTTGTAACTTACATATGATTATTTTCCTAGTGGCCATCTAATTCCTTTGAAAATACAAGGGGGTCCAGATCTCAATAGTATCAGGTGGGAGAAGGGCCCGAGGCAAAACATCAGAATCTCAGTGTCCCTGCACAGAATGTAGCCGTATGTGTGTGACCCTCGGAAAAATAGTGAAATAGATATAAAGGTGAGTTTTCTGGAAATTCTCTCACCCCTGCCTGCCTCTGCCCATTATTCGCTCCGATTCTCACTTCAGGGGCTTGGGTCCAGAAGCTGGCCCTCTCACAGCCAGGCAGTGAGGTTGGAAACATTCTCCTAGGACCTGCCAATTCTTCCTACTGAAGTCTAATAGATGTTTGCAGGAAAATGACTCTGGAGGTCATACTTTTCAAGCTGGAGATCCATATGCCTGGGTTATCTACAATCTCAAAATAAATCCTGTAGCAGCAGGCCTGGTGTTAGGTGCCCCCTGCCTCTACTGGTAAGGAATTCCAAACATTAAAAGAAATTAAGACTAGCTATGTTGAGATTAGATCTTCTGTATGTCCACAGGATTTGTTGTGGATAAGTTCGAACATAATGCTTGATGAAACAGCATGTTTCCTGCTATAAATCAAGACCTAAATGGATGGAGTTTTTGTGAAAAATGTCTGAGAAAGAGTTAGGATGTTACTTTTCTGGACCTTGAAATATATTAAAATGTCTTGGAAAACCTCTGAGATCTAAAACAATGAATCATTCCTAATGGTAACAATGTAAGTGGTTTTTTAGATAAGCAGCAGCAGGAACATTTTAGCGGAAAGGGCTATAAATCACAATTTGCTATCCCCTGTATGACACTCTACTACCATCCCTTGTTTAATGATTAAGTCTCCACTTGCTGGAGTATGAAATTAGCAAGAAGTGGTGATATGAAAAAGAGAAATGCACATTACACATTCTCATGGGATATCCTTGGGCCCTAGGGAAAGGTGATTGGGAGAAAAGACAACACTTTTTAATTAAAGTCAGCGTTTCAGATTGCATAACTGAAAGTGAGAACACGATCTCTTCTCTGATAAATTGAAAGTATGTCACTATTTCCAAAGATTTAGTCCTTCCCTGTACTGATAGATCCTCTTTATTTTGGTTATTTAATATATGAGAATTTTAAAATACTAAATTACAGATGGAATTATTGGCATTAAGGTCTAAAGCATTTACTTACGCAGGACAGTATTGGCAAACATAGTAGTATTTTAGATGGTCTTGATTGGGACAATAGGCAATTCCGCATCCAACACGGTAAGATGAGTACCAAACAACCTTCCGTAAGGAAATAATAAGGTACATTCAAGGGGAGGGGAAATATGAAAAAACAAATAATAGCAAATATAAAAGTGAACAAAATGTTACTATTATGGTTTGTAGCCATGTACATTACAGAAATAAACTATTAATTTCTGTATTATTATAAACTATTAATAAAATCACAAACTTTTAAAATACTGTATTTTCATGTACATTCACTACTTTACTTACAATGTTAGCAAAGTGCCAAGTCTATTTCCCTATCATGAGTTCTGCAGGCCTTGGAACAAAGTCAGAGCTCTAGATGAACTGCCAGCCACATGCCAGGACTCTATTATACCTACTCAGGCTCTTCCCTTAAATTGAACCTTAGAGTTGGTCATAATTTGGAGAAGTTTTCTATATAAGAGCATTTGTGGTAGAAGGATTTTTACTTTTTCCTTTTACCTGGGTATAATGTCCAACGACTGCAGAAGGGCTCTCTGGTCCTACACCATAGATGAAGTTGTGGCCCTCATGATACCAGCTTTGGATCGCATCTGACCAGGCAGTGGGGTCACTTGACATATAGAGATTTTCACCACATTTTGTACCTAAGAAGGAACAGATCATTCATGAGGAAAGCAATACATGCAAATATCCAAAAAAGTCAAGTATAGATACACAAGGATGTTGCCTATCAAACACAGTGGCTATGCTCATTAACTGTTAATACACAGAAATGGTGCTTTCATCCCTTATCAGCTATAAAGCTGAACAGAAAACACATCTGCCACACATTGAAGCTGGCCTCAATGTGGAAAACTTTGAATAGGTTAGAAGACCTTATTCTTTAAAAATCCTATTCTCTCTGGATCGTCAAAGATGCATTTTTTTTCACACTGAATTCTTCACATGTGTAATGCCTCATGTACTGCAATTAATATTTTGTGTAAAGTTGATGCATGAGTGTTTTTTCTCTCATAGTTTCTATAATCCTTGATAAAATATGTCTTAAAGTTATTTCAAGTCTAATATATTATTCTACACATGATAGGCACACAGTCCATACAAAATACTTGACTGTTATTAACAGGTAAAAAATGAATCCACCTACCCAAAACATTCATCCTGCTAAATACATTTAAAGCAAAATTCAGGAGCAATTCAAAATAATGCAATATATCTTATGAATGCAAAAGAAATAGCTTTCAAACACCAAAAAAGTACTCAATATCACAAAAAGGACGGAGTTAGAGGAAGTAGGAAGCCTGTTTGTCTTTCGAATATATGACACCACTTCCAGTTCTGCTCTTGGGTAAGGCATTCTTCCCATGTCCTGGTTTTCTAATCTTTAAAGTTGGAAAAATGACGATATATATCCCATTTACTCATGAGTTAGTAGAGAGGAGCAAATGGAATATTGCTTGAGAAATTTTTTGCATAATGGCAATGGACAAGCACCTCATGGTACTTATCAATATTATCTGTCTATATACAGATACTTTGATTTTATAAAGACAGCGGTGTAAGCAACATTTATTCACAATGCCTTAATGCAATGTCCCAGAATGCTATTTATTTTATTTGGCCAATACTATTTTATTTGTTCATTTACTCAACAAATATTTTTAGTCATCTACATACTGGTTTTTCGTTCTTCTGGGTTACTGTGTTGTAATGTGCACTTGTTTGCCCACTTTTGGGCATTTGCAGTTGCTTCTCTGCTCCATTCCTAAATGTCACAAGATAAAAAGTACAATTAAAGGCTCAACTCCAATGAAGCATATGCTTTATAGTCTGATTGGCAGGTTGATTTGCACTACTTTAAAACTTCTATAGAGGTATTATCTGTTGTCACTGGTATGAAAATTTCTTTGTGTATGTGTGTGTGGGTGTGTATGTGTCTTTATCTGCCCCAGTGTCAGTTTCCACATGAAGAGTGGTCCATAAAAGATTCGTTTAATGAGAGAAATATGTAATATAATAATATCTGACTATTTATTTTAGCACAGCAGCTACATCCAAGATTTTTAGTAATGGTGCTACTGTGAATATTGATCAACATGTGATGTATCTTAATTATATTTCAATAGTAATAAGCTGGTCTAGATTATTCCCAATACTATTTGTAGCCCATGCATTCATATGGGAGATATACAGCCTTTATGGACTATGTGCTGGAAAGTGGGCTGTTATTGACCCTCAGTGGCACTGCTCCTGAAAGAAAGGGTATGGCTTTATTTTAGACTAGGAAAGATAGCTAACAAAAAAATGTAATGGCTGCATTATGATGTCTGAAGATTTGACTTCTAATTCTGCCTTCCCAACTTACTAGCCCTGTTATGGCGACAAGTTATCTAACTATTATAAGGGAAAGTTAATTTCTGTCCTGACCAAAACATGTCTCAAATGAGATAGCAAGATAGAGGCAGGACCTTGTAAATCACAGTGTTCTCAAAAGATGCCAGCTCCCAGCTGTCTGCTCTTAGCACTGCTAGTTCACACCACTATGCTTATATTACTGCCTTTTACCATCTTTAGCATGTTGCTGGCAGGTGGAGAGACCGATTTCCTCAGTTCGTTGTGTTTATTTACAATCTCTCTTTGCACTTGTGTTTGAGTGGTTAACAAAGCAGTAAAGGCTGGATCCTAAATGAAAATAAAATTAAGGTTATTTTTAAACTTTTTTGAAAGTTGCATTTAAGAGTAAGTTAATTCAAAGGAACAGAGAAGACTTTAAAAAACATTCAGTTCAAGCCAATATTAGCTGGTAATCATTGCCAATAAATCTGAGCTCAAAGTATGACGAATAGGAAAGAAATACTTTGAAGCTTTGAGAGTGGGATTGTAATTCAGTGTGTGACTAATTAAAATCCCCTCCGAGGCTACAAGTGACAGTTTCTAGATTCAAGAGAACTCTTAACAGGTTTTTCTAGATATATGAGTGATGATATTATATAATTACAAAGAAACACAATAGAAACAGTAAGATATATCACATTCACAGGCTGCCTCAGTGGGGGTCAAGGGTGGAGGCTGAGATTCTTTCTGGGCTGTAAGGGGAAGGTTGACCTGACATGGTTCCCGTTTTCAGAGAAAGAATGTATTTATAGAAAGAATGTTTAAATTCAGTCAAAGTGCATTCAGTAGTCTTGTAAAATGATTTTTACCTATTATGGGTAGATGTATGAAGTCGTGCAAAAGACAGTTTTGCAGTATTAAAAGAAATCTCCAAGGCAATTTGAAAAAAGCAAAGCCATCCTATTAAAGGACTATTGCTGATGTTGTTCCTTTTAGTAACAGAATGTAATTGATAAGATATTAAATCAGGTGCTGATGTTTTTGGTTTATCTTTGTGGTGTACGGGTGTGTAGGGGTTTAAGCCTTGAGCTAACCCTTGTTCCCACAAGGTTTAAGCACTTTGATAACCTAAATTTACAAGAGAGAGTGACGTTATATGGGCATGAGCAATATTTTGCCATGTAAGTATAATCAGACAGGGTTATTTGTTGATTTTCACTGATTTTGTCACTTTGGGATAAGTTATGTTCTCCTCCCCTCAATACTGAGGTCCTTCAAAGATTTCCAAATACTGTGAACATAGGTCTCACCATATTTTATGGCCTCTATTTACGTTAAGTGTCCATTTCTCCTGCTTGCTTGTATGTTCCTAAGGACAGGGTACAATAGTGAATGACATTGTACCCACAGATTAGGCACATTCCCACCAACTAACTCCTAAATTAGAGAGTTAAGAATTCACATGCGAAATACTAGCAGCAGCCAACCCTTGAATTACATCAAAGCATAAAATAACATCCCTGAGTATGTCCTATTAACCCTCAAAAATCTGCTTAAGATAGGTTCATTTCAAAATACATCAATATTTGGTCCCTGAGAAAGAATTATTTCCTGCTTCTCACCTTATTTTGCTTTGTAGATAAAAACTACTAAAGATATGCCTTTGTGTTTTCTTTTAAATGAGTTTCAGTAAAGCTTTCTTTAGGAAGCAGAAAATATGAAAAGTACTGAGAACAAAACAGATCAAATATGGTATTTGTCTATCTATCCTCAAAGGGTTTATATTGGATATGCAGTATGACATAAATAATGACAATACCACAAGATAACTGAAATGATGGGAGGGACCTACTAGATACAGGAGGAGGAGGGATCAATTCTTTTCGATTGAGCTTAGTGAAAACTTCACAAAAGATGATCTGGATTGGGGTTTTGAAAGGTAGATAGTGTTTTCTACGCATCTTGAAAATGCTCTGAAAACCACACTGAGCACAAGGAATGGAGGGCATCTGATCAGCAAACTTTCAGTGGAGAAAAAGACCAAAATGATACCTCCCTTTTAGATAATTTCATAAATGAAGACCAGAAGATGGACCAGAAAGGTAACAGGGAATTGGAAAGGGCCATGAAGGGAAATGTTTAGGCAGGAAAATGGGAACAGAGCAAGCATTTGAATGAAGCTGTAGGTGATGAATAACGTGTCTTCAGATCGAGACTTGATTATGGTAACATAATGTGTTTCTGAATGCCAATGAGGTATGACCCAATGTCATGTTTCTCGGTCTGGGGAGACCTAGCTAATAGAGTTAAAGGAGGGTGCAGAACAAACAGCAAAGATCAAAGTTCCTCACATTCAGAGGTTTTCTGATCAGGAGATAGATGCCTTATGGGGCATCCACTGAAGAGGATGATTGATTCTGTTCTTGGATCTTTAAGCAAAGCAGCACATTCAAAATAGAGGATTTGAGTTCAATAGGTAGGCTCTCATATATCAAGTCTATAATTATTAATAAACAGAGCAAAACAAAATACTAAGTATTTTAGAGTTAGATTTTTTTAAATGTAAAAAAGGTATTATACAGTAGTGATGGAAATGAAATGATATGTGAAGTACTATTTTAAGATTATGTAAATTGTTAATTTTCTATGGGATCACACTGAAGTGGATTAAATAAAGGAAATCAGAAAAGAACTTGAGGAGGGAAAGCTATCATTAGTTTTTTAAATTTATAGACTAGCATGTCCATCAGAAATATAATTATGCATGATATGTAATTTTAACTTTTGAATGGTCATATGAAAAGTGTAAAAAGAAACAGGTGATAATGATTTAAATAATATGTTTTATTTGTAATGGGTTAAGTGGTAGTGTACAAGAATGACACCATGTCATTATCCCCAGAATCTCTGAATGTGACCTTATTTGGTAAAAAGGTCTTTCCAGATGTAACTAAGTTAGGATCTCTTGATGAGATGGTCCTGGATTCCGAGTGGGCCTTAAATCCAATGACAAGTGACCTTAAAAAAGTCACCCAGAGAGGAGATGGTGATATGAAAATAGAAGCAATGGTTGGAGTAATGCAGCCACAAGCTAGGGAAGCCAAGGGTTGTTGGAAGCCACCAGAAGCTAGGAGAGGGACATGGATCTGATTCCCTCCCAGCTCCTCCAGAGGGAGCTTGGTTGGCCCTGCTGATACCTTAATTTCAAACTCTGGCCTCCAGAACTGTGAGGGAATAAATTTCTGTTCTAAACCACTAAGCTCGTGTTGATTTTTTATAAGAACCCTAGTATAAGAATGTAATACATTATTTAATTATCCAAAATATCATTTCATCATATATTCAATATAAAACTATTAATGATATTTTCTTTTCTGCACTCAATCTTTGAAATCTGGTGTGTATTTTACACTTCCAATAGGTCTTATTTTGGACAAGCCACATTTCAAGTGTTCAAGAGCCACATATCTAGTGGCGACTGTATTGGACAGCTTCCCCTTAGATTGAGACACTCTTGCCCCTTCCACTCTCGGAGTGCCTAGCCATCCCACAAAGTTGCCTGGATAGCTCTGGAAAGATTTTCCCCTTTCCCCTTACCTTTCCTTCAGCAGGTAAAGACAGAAGCAATCCAGCAGCCAGAAACACCACTACCGGGAGTGAAGCCATTGATGGGAAATAAGTCAAAGAGCACAAAGGTCTGCATTGAATCAAGTAGGACATGGATCTCTGACTAAGAGGGAAAAACCAATGATACTAGTTATCTCAGAGGAACTTTGATTCCCAAACTCATAAAAATGCAACAAGAAAAGACTGTCATATGGTGCCAGTAGAATCATAGTGGGACCAACCTCTTCTCTGACAGTGACGACAAAAAACTGAAGAACTTGACTGATGCTTTTGAAGTATACTTTCAACACCCAGGGACATATTATCTTTCTACCCACTTCTATTTCTGCTAAGTCTATCAAAAGGAAAATATGGGGGAAAAAACAGAGTTCTTCCTAATTAATTATAATAGTACATTACTCATCTCCATCTTGGGAGAAATTTTATTTTCAGTGTGTACCATCTCTTGGTTTACTTTTCTCTATAAAAGGACAAACAGAAGTGTTCGTCCTTTTACTTATGCATAACTCTAATCAAGATTCCAGGGTTGTGATTATGCAAAAATAAATGTGCCAATACTTTATTAGTGGTGATTAGTTTTGTTTAATACGCAGTTGAACAAAGATGGTTTAATATCTTCATTAATGCTCTAAATTGACATTCAGCATTGGATTGCCCACATTGTCTTCTCTCAATGTGTCAAAAAATCCTTGGCTCTTTAGATGAAGCAATAAGACCACTAAGTTTAGAAAGTAGCCATATTCCTGCTAATGTCATATAAATTACTAGCTCTGCAAATGGAAGGAATGCTGCCTTGATTTGTTTTCTTCATGTGGTATTGGTACTCTCAAATTCTTGGAGGAAAAGAAAATTCTAAACAATTTATCTGTGGTATTTCTCAGGCCTTATTGATTTGTGGGTAGTAGACAATGGATAACCTGCTCCAAGTAGTCCCTCTATCTTCAATAGTGTGCTCATGAAAGGGAGGGGAATGAACATTTATTGACAGGGATGGTAAAATGCAATGTCTAATTTCACTCTCATACCTTGGTGGATGTGACTATATTTTATGAATGAAGAAACTTAGACTTAGCACAGTTAATTAACCTATGCCAGTGGTAAGTTCTTAATGTCAGAAATTACCTTCAACCAATTATGACTTCAAAGTCAATGCACATTAACATAGTTCCAACTGGGAAAAAACAATCATTTTGCTTCACAATGGAGATACTCTATCCTTGTTTTAACAATCTCTTATTACTATAACCACATATGTTCAAAATGAAAATCATCAATATAGAAATATATATATATATGTAATGTATACAGTTTATCATACTTTTATGTTTTTCCATTAAAGATAGTTCTAGTATAATTTTTTCAAACTCATAAACATGGGAATGATTTATATTATCTAATTTACAATGACATGTAAATAATTCATTTATTTATAAATTTCATATGTAAGTTGATACAGTGAGTAAAAGAGTAAAATTAACTTGAAATCATTCGATAAAAATTTATCCATAAAGTTTTGAGATTCATGGATAAATTTATTAAACATATCATTTTACTGCAGGCAAATAAAAATGACTGGTAAATAAAGTGTTCACATTAAAATGAATGAGTAATCACATACTACTGGTTCTCATTGCAGGATGAATAGCTTCTTTATCTGTAGGAAAAAGCAAAGTGGAGAGAAGGTAATAGCGCAATATGTATTACATCTACTGCTGTTTAAGCAAATTCTGGCTAAGTAAGTCTAAGTAGATACATTTCTGAAACAGGATTTTTCACACCAATAGCTACAAGTTTCATCCCCAGCTGCCCAACAGTGTGTTTGACATTATTCGGTTCCCACATATCTTGCAACATGAATAAGTAAAACATGTCCTCCCTCCCTAACCAGCCCTCTACTCTTAGGCACACTAAAATTTGGGTCCTGCCTTTTTGGCCTGGCATTTTTATCACAACCACTTGAACCTGGTTAATCACTGCAAAGGTAACCAGGATCCTACCTTATAGCTGAACTCCCAAGGCTCAGCTTTCTATGACTTTTACTTCCTAGTTACCAACTTTCCATATTTTATTGGTTGAGAGCATAGTCTTAGGAAGCCATCTGTTCTAGGAAATCACCTCTGAGCTTCTTTTCTCTTCTGTAAAATGTGGATTATCATATCATAGATTTGCTTTGAAAACTGAACAGTATAACATACACAAAACACCTGCTAAAATGCCCAGTATATAATACTTAATATATGAAAATTATTAATATTTTAATTTTTATCCTTTGCAATGCATGATAGTTTGATGACCTCATAAGATCTTTCTATAAATGCATGTTGTTTGATTGAATTGCTAATTTCAGAGATGACTATAAGACCCTTTTTTACTTCCAGATGTCACAGGGGGAAAAATATATATACATATAAAAAATACATATATATATATATATAAAAATATCAGTATAATTTAATCAGTGATTCCAATGTTCAAGGCCCAGTTCTACTGGTGACCTGGCTAACTTTAGGAAAATGATCTAAGATCTGGGCTGTTATATTCTTATTAGCTCATTGAAAGACATACCCATGAACCTAAAGATTTTGTATAGCTCAACCGTTTAACATGTTTACATTAGATGACCCACAATCCATAATTTAACAGACCGTGATGCCACATATTCCTCACTGCCACTCTCCTGTCGCTCCACCTTCCATCAGCCAACCTACAGTCTTCTTTGTTGCATCAATGGGAGCAATACTTTTGATGGGAGTGTATTTCAAGAATTATGCCTTTAAACACATATATAGTTGAAAAGTTGCCATTTTTTTCTTTGCTACTTACTAATGGAAAAGTACTGTACCCTTTCTTGCAGGTGTTTTAAGATCAGGATAACATGGTTCTTTTAAGGTGTCTACAGGAAGAACATGGTGAATGGTTCCATAATCCTAGGACAGGGAAAAGGAAGATATTTAAAACAAAGGTTTGAAAACTAGATTGATAGGATCAACAATCTCTAACAAACTTAAAATAGTGCGACTGCTTAGAATTACTGTTCTCTAATAATTTACTGTATTTATTTGAGCTCATCATTAAAACAATAATCTCCTCCCTAGATCAGATTGCATTTTTGATGTTTTGATGTTTCCTTCAAACACTAACAAAGTAGACTTCTTAAGAAGTTCAGTTAACTATTACTTAGCTAACTTCCTGGGAATATCACAGCATATATATCCTTTCAAGATGCACAACTCCTTATCCAGGCTTCCAGCCCATACAGTCTTTAGATGGTAACTTCTTTAAGTAGTAACCCACATAATAAGCATTTATTTACTACATGGATTTGGGGGATCACACCTATATCTCTTCACCTCTTTAGCTGGAAGCCAGGGAATAACATAGAGTCCAGAAGGGTCCATTTTACTTGTTTGTAATATACAGGTTCTAATAACTCTGCATTCAAAACATAAAGTTCTTAATTTGACCTAACGAAAGGCCAGATTTAGAAATGGCTTCAGGCTTCTGCTATGACCCAGCGCAATGAATGACTTATGTTTTAACATAGGTAAGGGTTTCGAGAGGATAAACAGAGAAGCCTGTTGAAAGTCTTTCGTGGAAAGCTGCTGAGCAACAACATGAACCCTCCGCCCTGAATTAGCTCATGCAAGCAGAGTGCCGGAAGAGACCCACAGGACCAGGAGACTGCTCACCTCCCAGATCTTCCTGTCCCCTGTCTCACTGCACTGTCCTCATCCTGGTCGTCTCCAGGTTTTCAGACTGCTCTAATTCTTACCCTGGCTCCAGAGGCCAGATCTTCCTGCTGCAGAGTGGGAGCCAGGGACTTGCTGCTGCTGGGCTCCCCTGGAGTGAGTGTAAAATACCCAGCCAGCCACGTGGGGGCGACGTCACCGGGCTTTATCCGTTCAGCACAGTTGTCAGTTAACTGCTTCCTGCAACTTCCCCATCCGCATTGAGGGCGCACCGAGAAAATCCTAATTTTCCCCTGTGAAACGCAAAGTTCTGCCTTTCCCTCCTTGTCATCACTTGATGAGGAAGCTGAACGTTTGCTCACACACCTGAGGAGTAAGAGGAGGCTGGAGATAATTAATAATCAGGATACATATAACCCAAGGGGTGGCTGAAAAGGAGGCGTTCCTTTTCAGACAAGAATTCCTGAACTAACGCAGGTCGAAGTTTAAAGAGCCAGTTGGAAAAGGCCATAGATACTTAAGATTACATCACGATACCGGTGTGGTGCTAACGATGCACTGAGGGTTTCATGGGTAAAGCTGACATTTTGCAGGTTCACTCAATACACAAGTGTGTTCTTGCCGCTCTTCTCCCCTGCTGTAATAGTTTTGTGTCTGTAAGTTCAAGAACAAGTCTTAGGAAGAACCCAGAATTCCTGATCCAAGGCTGGTGGCTTCAAGTTTAGCAGGTATTTGAGGCATTGACTGAAGACTGTGCTGCCTTTCTTTCTAGAAGGCAGATGAATAATAGATGAATTTTCTTCTATGCTTAGTTGTTTTTTCAAGATTAAAAGGGATGAATTAACTCACTACTTAAAGTATAGGTTAGGTCAAAAGATAGCAAACCAAGAGTTAATATCCATCACACACTAGCTCTCTATACCCCATGCAAAGAGTCTTGAAATTTCTCATTCTAACCCTTGAGACTCATCTATGCACAACCTTAACTGTAACAAACTGCCATGTTTCTTAGTGCTGAGTGCTCCTTTGATTCAGTAATGCTGAAATTCCAAGTGACCAATGTATGAGCATTATTTTATTTTTCTTTTGCTGCTGTTTCAGTTAAAGGACAAGTGGCTAAAAATATCTTGGAATTCAGAAGTAATTGTAGACTACCTTACTCTTAAGGCTACATTCAAAGTTAACTCTTGAGAGTTTGCCTTTCTGAATGTTTATGAAACCCACTCCCAGATCTCCCTTTCTTACTGCTATATTCATGTTTTCACTGTATCTTGCTTAGATTATTAATTTAACATTTCAAATACTTATATTCACAAAATTGCTACTCATCTTCTTACAAATAGAGTTTTGTAGTACATTGCTCTTTTCCTAGTGCAAAATAGTTCATTGTTATCCTGTAATAGTCTATAATGTACTGTGAATAACCTAATTTTCTTTCTTGGAGACAACATACCTATAATCATTACTTGTTCTAATGATGATGTCAGAATGAGAGCAACTTGGGTGTTGTAGTGATATTGTCAGTAAACATGTATTTGAGAAATGGACTATGTCCTCTCTTTATTATTGTCATATCTCCAAACCTAGCACAATACCAATTATTTAGGTGGCAGTTTGTAAATATTTGTTGAGTGAATAAATATTGACCTGGTCTAAACTCATAAGGAATGTAGAAAAAATGACACACCATCTTTTACATCTCTTACCTGTAACAGTAATAGTACTGTGGGAGAGATACAGACATATGAACATTACCAGTTAGTGTTAAGGAGTTGGAACAGAAACTATATCCAGTAATTGGGAGTCCTGTGAGTTAATACTGAGAAAAAGCGAGGTGGTAGAAGTTGAGACAGGACGTAGTGGAAGGGGCAGGCAGGACAGGGCAGCCCCAGTGACCGTCAATGAAAACCCTGGTAATGGTTAACAAAAAGGGGAACTAAAACACAGTCAACAACGAACCCACAGGAACAAGCAGAGAGAGAGCCAAGAAAACCTTAAGCCTCACCCCAGCCCTAGCAACAAAGCCCAGCCAATCAGCTAGACTTCCTCCTTTTCAGTGCTTATAAACCCCTAGGCATTGCAGCCCCTGTGGCATCCTCTAGTGGAACCCCTCCTGATTAGCAGGAGTCATTTTCTTTTCACTCCTCGTTAAAAGGTTTGCTGGTTGCTCTGTACTCTTGTCTGCTGGCTTCATTCATTGCCTCCGAGACACGATCCTGGGAAAAACAGCATCTCAGCCAGTAACAGTGACATTTGAACTGCTTTGAAAAATGTGTATGATTTGATCAGAAAGAAAAAAACAGTTTAGAATATTTGGTTGGAAGAGCAAACAGACAAATCAGTGTATCACAAGGTATATTTAAGTCAGAGTGATAGGTCTTTGAATATGTTAGGGATACTTTGTGTAGAAGTGTAAGGAAATTGGCTTCTTTATATAACATGGAAAAATAATTTCATTGATGTTTAGAGAGTTGGCCAATTATCAAGTATTATTTCATGAAAGCTACCTGATAGCACTATGCAGGGTGATTTACAGAGCTGAGAAATTGCTTATGGGAAATATATGAGTGTGGTGATGATGTATATAGAGATGTACATAATATACACCTATAATCTAGTGCAGCTTTTAAACTTAATCTCTCTTAATCAATCAATAGTCTCTTAACTGGTTTCTTGCTTCCACTTTTACACCTCATCTTCAGTACACCCTCATGGCTTGCTGTCTTGTAGTAATATTCTGAGTCTTTACTTGCCCTAGAGGGTGCTCCTGACTAAGTTACTCCTAACTCTGACCCTCCTCTAAGATGATCTTTACCTTGCTCACTGTGCTCCAGACATTCTAGGCTTCTTGCCTTTCCTCAATATGCCAAGTTTATTCTTATCTCAACAACTGTGTACTCACTAGTCTCTTTGTTTTCTCTATTAAGTCATTTTATCAGTTGTTCCCACACTTCAATTCTGTTCCTAATCCCATGTTATCACCTCCAAGACGATTTACCTGACTTTATTGGCTTAATTTATCCTCTTTAAATCAACATTTTCCTTTCCCAGTTTATCCTCATTATTCTCTATTCTCTTGCTCATTTTAATTCACAGCACTTAGCACCTCTGACATGATATTCAGTGTTTATTTGAAAAATACTTTGCTTTCTCTCTCTTCTATTAGATCGTGATCTCTATGAAGTTCGAAATTTGATCTGTTTTGTTAATCACTCAATTCAAAGTACTTAATTGAATACCTGAGCTATAAAAGTGTGTTCAATAAATATTTGTTGAATGCAAGAATAAATTATTACACATTGTAACAATTAATGTGAAGGGAAAGACAGGAAACATGAGAGAGAGTGGGAGAGTTCTTTAGATTATTTAATCCAAGGAATCTCTTAGATGAAATGATATTTAATGTGAAAGAGCTATTCTAGCAAATGATACAGGCATGACTCTTCCAGACAGAGTTAATAGCAAACACAAATGTCCAGAGATAAGAAAAGTCTTGAGAAGTTTGAGAGAGTTTAATAAGGTCATTGTATTTGGAGCATCAGCAATAAGGGAGGGTAGAATGAAGTGAGATTAGAAAGAAAAGTATCAAAGAGATCATTCAGCTTTTTGAAGATGAGTTTAAGTGCATGAATACTATCCTAAGTCTATGGAAAGGTCTTGAAAGCAGACTAGTCAGCTCTCACTTTAGAGATTAAGAAACGTGCTGAAGAACAGAATCTGGGAGCTACAGGGTGGTCTTGAACCTCTCCCTGCTTTCGCTTTGTCTTATGATTACTTGTATTCTTGAAATTATTAGTGAAGCTTGACCCTGGATAGGCTTGGGAGTCTGATTCAACAGCCCAATCATTGGTATTATCTGAAAGATCCACAAAAAGACAAAATCAAATATTTAGAGTAGAACGGAGGATTTGAAACTTGTAGGAAAAACATTTGAGAAAGAATAACCGGATAATCAAGAGAGAAAGTATGAAATATTATGAAGCCAAGAAAAAAATTTTTCTTTTCTTTTTTTTTTAAGCACTTTTAATTTTGGAATATGTTTAGATTTACAGAAAGTTTGCCAAGATAGTGTAGAGACGTCCCATATGATCTTCACCCGGTTTGAGTTTTTGTTAATGTATCATCTTGCATAAGCCTGCCACATTTTTCAAGACTAAGAAATCAATATTACTGTTAAAAACACTCCAGACTCTATTTAGATATCACCAGGTTTTCCATTAGTGACTTTTTTCTGCTACAGGATCTGATCTAGGGCACCACATTGCATTGAGTTCTCACGTTTCCTTAGTCTCCTCTGGTCTGTAATGGCCCCTCGGAATTTCCTTACTGCTCATGATTTAGATGGTTTGGAGGAGTACTGGTCAGGGGTAGAATTTCCTCAGTTTAAGTTTGCCTGATATTTTAATTTATGATAAAATCTGGGTTACAAGTTTTTAGAAAGAATACCCTGGAAGTGAAATGCCCTTCTAATTACATTCATGTAAGGGGTACATGAATCCCCATGACTTATTAGAGGTGATTTAACTTTTGATCACTTGGTTCAAGATGGCGTTTGCCAGATTTCTCCACTGTAAAGTTCTTCTTATTCCCCTTCCATGCTTTACTTTCTGGAATTGAGTCACTAAGTTCAGCCCAGACTCAAAAGAGAGGGTGGTTAGTTCTACTTCCTGGAGGAAAGAGCATTTACATTTATTATTTTGAATTCTTCTTTAAGGAAGATTTGTCTAAAAGAAGAGATGGTTAAAAGGAATGATATGGTCATATTCTATTATTAAATTTATGCTGCTGAAGAATCAAAAGATGTGGATTCTGACAAAACAAAGGTCAGGGTTACCTTAGGAAGAACAATTTCAAGTTAATTGTAAGGATGGGCACCAGATGAGTGGGGAGAAGGACGAAACAGGAGAGGACCCTGTTTATGAACATTTTAAGGATGTTTAGCTCTGAACTAGAGCTAGGAAGGACAGCAGGCCAGGATTTATGTGACAATATTACCTTCTGGTCTTTTTGTACATTTTACTCTAGGAACATGATTCTCAATTTTAATTCAGGTTTCTAGTGACCTTAAGTCATAAGAGAATAGAATTTTCAGAATCCTCACCTTGGTTCAATTCATTAAATTTAAATCACCAAATTTATATCAAAGTCCAAAATCATCATAGATTATGTTACTTGTTAATTCTTTGTATGAAAGAGATTTCTATAAAACAAAAAGTAGGTTCAGGAGAAAAAGACTTACTACTATTTGGGATCAAATTTATAGCTAACATGCCAGAGTATATTGATCTGACACTAATTACCCTGTACCTCAATGATGATTATTATCTTACTGGCCATATTTTCATTTTGATGAAATCCAATTTATCAATTTGTTTTACTATAGATTATTTTTGACACTGTATATAAGAAATCTTTGCTAACCAGAAGTTACAAGTATTTTATGTTTTATTCTAAATATTTTCTAATTTTTTTAGGGCTACAATAGATTTGAGGATTACTTTTTGTGTACAATGCAAAGTCTGGATCAAAGTTCATTTTTTCAAATGTGTGGGGATCAGTTTTTTCCAGGACCATTTGTTGACAAGATTACTTTTTTCCATTGAGCTGCCTCTCCACCACTGTCAGAAGTCAGCTGTCCAGATATATGCATGTTTATTTCTGGATTGGTGATCATATCTATCATTTCTTCTGTGCCAAGGACAGTTTTCCTCCTTCCTTTCCAACTGGCTGCCTTTTGTTTGTCTTACCTGATTCACTGGCCAGAACTACAATGTTTAATAGAGATGATGTGGGTGCACTTCTTTGCCTTTTTTCTGATCTTAGGGGAAAATATGCAGTTTTTCACCATCAAGTACGATGTTAGCTATACAATTGTTTCAGATTCTTATCAAGTTAAGAAAGTTCCCTTCTATTCTTGGTTTGCTGGAAGTTTTATTAGGATTGGACTTTAGATTTTGTCAAATGCATGTTCTTTGCCTATTGAGGTGAACATACAGTTTTCTCCTTTAGACTGCTAATATGATGGAGCACGGTTGGATTTTGAAAGTTAGCTCAACCCTCTATTCACAGGGTGAATCCCACTTGGTTAGGATGTATTAGCCTTTTACTATACTGCTGGGTTTATCTGTTAAATTTTTATTTGGATTTTTCCATCCATATTCATGAAGCTTTCAATCTGTAGTTTTTGGGTTTTGTTTTTTCCTGTTTTAATATCTTTGGTTTTAGCAGTAGGACAATACTACTTTCAAAGAATAAATTGAGTAGTATAACTTCCTGTTTAATTTTCTAGAGAGATTTGTGTAAAATTGGTAATAATTCTTTGTAAGTGTTTGGTATAATTCTGCAGTGAAACCATCTGGACCTGGAAAATTACTTTTGGGATACTTTAGAATTATAAATTTAATGTCTTTCATGAGTACAGGATGATACAGATATTTTATTTCATCTTAGAGTTAATAGTAGCTCAGGCAAGTTTGCTGTCTGTCTGCTCAGACCTATTTCTTGACCACTTTCAATACCTTGTTTGTTCCCTTTTTTCAGATTTTTAGTGTAGGCTTTCTTACCCATAAAATGGGACTGCTTCACTCTGTTGTTATCAATATTAAGTGAGAATGCATGCAAAGACTTATAAAATGGTAAATATCTCAGGAATATTTACTATCACTCATTTTTTTCTTAGAAAGGCTATTTTTTTATATGCTGTTGTATATGCATTCTTTTAACTAATCAACTAAACCAGTAGGGAGGAGATCAAAATGTCAAAAAGCAAGTAAAAATAGCACTCACTTTTCTGTAAAAATTTAATTTTGTAAGCAAATATTTTGAAAATTTTGCTCTGTATAATTATTTATTTGGGCTGAATCTAGCTGGGGTTAATGAGAAGTTCTAGAAAATGAAGCACAAGGATCACACTCTTGTGGTTGCTTTGATGAGTTCTTTATTTCTAAAAGTTGATTACTTCTGTTTAAAAGGAGGTCATAACACAAAGGTAAGGGGTCAGTCTTTGAATTCATTCTTTATGCAGGTAAAAATCATGTAGTAGAAGATAATGCTGTTAGCCTTTCATTTTTGTTACAGTTCTTTTTATTTTTTTGGAGTGTAATTTTGTAATTCTCCACTTTAAAATTCTAGTGACCAAAGTCTTTTAGTTCTATAAGTTTAAAAATCCTCAACTTGATTCAATTCATTAAGTTGAAAAGACTGAATCTGTATCAAAGTCCAAGGTTGTTATCATAGACTACTTTGCTTTTGTAAATCACTGTATGAAAGAGATTTCAGTAAAAATCCAGGAGAAGATGCATGGCTCTTTGGAATCATATTTGTAACTAGCATGCTACAATTCCTCCTCTGGTGTGTTGTCAATCAAATGATGCAGCCCTTCCTCACTTAGACCTGCAGAATGCATTGGGCATTTCAGTAAATTTTGTTTTCACATAGACAAGTAGCCTTGCATTTTTTCTTAAGCAATTCACTTTTACAGCCAGCTGTTGTCTTCAAGAAACCACAGTTACTAAGGAGATCTTCATACTCACAACTATTGGCTGTTAAAAAAAAAAACAGATTAGTTACCTCATTACCATTCTCCCCAGTAGCAGCAAAACAATCCGTGCATTTAGAGTGTATGAGGGCAGTAGGATTGGACAAACATGTCAGCCTCACTTATGCTCTGATGGGCCTTTTACTTCTGGAGGGACACAGGACGTACCCTAATTAAGCTCACTGTTTAATCCATCACTTTCTTATTTTGAGCTGGTGATGTGTTTCTAAAATGAATTCACCTACTATTCTCCCATAGCAGAGAGAATAAAATGAATATAAATAAATAAATCTACACCTGCAGAGTCTAATATGGGAGCCACTAGTCACATGTAGCTATTTAAGTCTTTTTTCCTAAATTAGATAAAAATTTCTTTTTCTACAATTCATTATCTAAAAATTTCCTTAATTTCCTCGCCATTATGTCAAGTGTTCAAAGGCCACAGGTGAGTACTGCCTACTTGTAAGACACCCGCTGATCTAGAACATTTCCATCATTTCATACTATTGGACAGCACTGCTTTGGACTCCAGTGCTTTCTTTCTGGAGAGAGTGAATTCTATGGAAAGGTAAGGATGTAAAACAATGATAATATGCCCCCTTTCCTTCTGGTATTTCTTCTTGGATGTTCTACAGGGGCCCCAGGCCCAACAAATCTCAAAAACCCCTCATTCCATCCACAAGGCTGACAGTTCAGCATGTGGTCTCCCTACCCCTTCCCGTCATGGCGGTGAAATGGCTCAGACTCCTCAACAATTCAGGCCAGGGTGAGTCAGTCTGATCTTTTCTGTTTCTGATCATTACTCAACTGGCAGAGACAAAAACACTGCTATTCTAGTTCTTGTCTCTTAGCCCTGTCCACTTCTTTTCATTCATTTTGCCAGTAATGGACTTTGATATCCTTTTTCTGTTTTGAACTCAGTATTGCAGCAGTTTTCTGGCTGGTTTCCATCCATTTGTTTCTACATAATATTTTCTAGAAAGCTCTATAAAACATGACTCTGACCTTGTCACTCTTTGTTTAATATCTTTCAGTTGACTGCTTATTAATAATAGTATAAATTCCAACTCTTTAGAAAAAAGTATTCAGCAGAGGTATAAATACACAACTTTTTTTCTTCTTTATTTGATCTGTACCTTTGATATCATCAGTATTCTGAAATATAGCTATGTTTCAGTCAGAACGAATGCTAACTAAAAGTGAATGCATTGGAAAGTTAAAATCTCAGTGAATGGGTCAACTATATTGTTCATAATAACAAAAAGCCAACAGCTGTTTTTACTTCTACTCAAGGCAACTCAAGAAATGATATGTACTGTCTTATTTTATTCTCTCCTTTGTAACAATATGTTTGTAGGTTCTGTGAGCCAATACTGTGTAGTGTTGGATTTGGTTATAAATATCTGTACAAAACTACTATCATACTATAAGGCAAGTTATTACTTGTTAGCCAAACAAAATAATTGCAATAATAACTAGAAATAAAGTAAGGTAATCAGCATGAGGAACTCAATAGCACTAAAGGAACATACTATTTTCTTTGCTGGACTAAACTGAGCTATAATATGGTCTCACATATAAAGTACTTTGATTCTTTCAAAATACAGCCTTTGGTATGATGATACCAAGTTTGATGAAATGCACTATGTACCAGAAGCATGTATAGTTAATATTAATGAGCTCTGAATAGTCACAAACACACACTGATAATAGATATTTTATTATCTTATATATGGTAATATTCTTTCAGTATAAATAATATGTAGTTTCCTGAAGTGTACAAAATGTTTACTTAAACACACTGATGATTAAGTTGTCTTTTGCATAAAGACATTATTTGAGTTGGTTACTTTAGGAGATTTCTTAATCAATAAAAATAAAATAAAATATCAACTCTATTTTAATAGTGAGTTAATTATTTCACACTTACTGCATAGTCCATTGTCACAGTTATCAGGACAACTGGTACAAGGTGCCCCTTCTTGGTAAGGGGTATGAATTTTATCCACATTATTACCACTGAAATTTAAAATACATAATGTCAAATACATTTCAGTTTGCTATTTAGTTTAAACGGTAAAAATAATATCAATCATTAAATACAGTTATTAGATGTTTTTAGTTAACAAAATTCAAAAATTTCTATTCCCAATGTTTAATTCAGGTAACATCCAAATTAAGAAAATACTTCACACATTGACCATCTCCTTGACTGTAATTCTGAAGGCTGAGCAACTACGCTGTGTAACAAGAGTCTGAAGTTTCCAGTATATTTCAACCTGGCAACACTCTCTTCACCTCCAGGGGACTTGGCCAGTCCATGAGGCAGTAACCCAGTGTGCCAGCGGGGGTAGAACACATGCCCTGGAGTCACAGGGGCCCTGGGGGGCGTGGCCATTGCAGTATGGAAATGAGTATTCAGTGCTACAATAGCACTTTTTATTTGAAAGATGATAGAATATCCTAATTTCTCTAACATGAACTAGGGACACTAAGGCTCCAGTGTACATATACATATTTGACTTCTAGATGTAGGGGTGATATTTAAGTAGAGTTGCGTGTGTTTGTGGGGCAGGGAGAGATGAGGAAGGTTTGTGAATTTCTAGATGTGGTGAGTGAGAGATTTTCAATGTTTACCAAATAAGGAATATTTATTTTAAAAGTTTTGAAAAACATCAATATCCAAGGTATAATTACCTTACAGTGACCAATTTGTAACTCACAGATGATTATTCTCCTAATGGCCATTTAATTCCTCTGAAAATACAAGGGGGTCCAGATCTTAATAGCATCAGGTGGGCCAAGTGCCCCAGGCAATATATCAGAATCTCAGTGTCCCTCCACAGAATGTAGCTGTATGTGTGTGAGCCCATGGAAAAATAGTGAAATAGATATAAAGGTGAGTTTTCTGGAGGTTCTCTCACCCCTGCCTCTGTCCATTATTTGCTCCGATTCTCACTTCAGGGGCTTGGGTCCAGAAGGGGGCCCTCTCACAGCCAGGCAGTGAAGTTGGAAGCGTTCTCCTAGGACCTGCCAATTCTTCCTACTGAAGTCTAATAGATGTTTGCAGGAAAATGACTCTGGAGGTCATACTTCTCAAGCTGGAGACCCATATGCCTGGGTTATCTACAATCTCAAAATAAATCCTGTAGCAGCAGGCCTGGTGTTAGGTGCCCCCTGCCTCTACTGGTAAGGAATTCCAAACATTAAAAGAAATTAAGACTAGCTATGTTGAGATTAGATCTTCTGTATGTCCACAGGATTTGTTGTGGATAAGTTCGAACATAATGCTTGATGAAACAGCATGTTTCCTGCTATAAATCAAGACCTAAATGGATGGAGTTTTTGTGAAAAATGTCTGAGAAAAACTTAGGATATTAATTTTCTGGACCTTGAAAAACATCAGAACATCAAAGACGTCATCAAGATACATCAAGATTGAAAAACCTTTGAGATCCAAAAGAATGAATCCTTCCTAATGGTAACAATGTAAGTGGATTTTTAGATAAGCAGAGCAGGAACATTTTAGCAGAAAGGGCTCTAAATCACAATTTGCCATCCCCTACATGCCACTCTACTACCACCCTTTGTTTCATGATTAAGTCTCCACTTCCTGGAGTATGAAATTGGCAAGAAGTGGTGATATGAAAAAGAGAAATGCACATTACGCATTCTCATGGAATATCCTTGGTCCATAGAGAAAGGCGATTGGGAGAAAACACCACACTTATAATTAAAGACAGAGAGTTTCAGATTACATAACTGGAAGTGAGAAAATGATCTCTTCTCTGACAAGTTGAATGTATGTCTCCACTTCCAAAGATTTAGTCCTTCCCTGTACTGATTTATGTCCTTTATTCTGGTTAATATATAAGAATTTTAAAATATTAAATTACAGATGGAAGTATTGGCATTAAAGTCTAAAGCATTTACTTACGCAGGACAGTATTGGCAAACATAGTAGTATTTTAGACGGTCTTGATTGGGACAATAGGCAATTCCACATCCAACAAGGTAAGATGAGTACCAAACAACCTACAAATTCATAGGAATATAAAGTACATTTAAGAAGAGGGGAAATATGAAAAAACAAATAATAACAAATATAAAAGTGAACAAAATGTTACTTTTATGGTTTGTAGCCATATACATTATGGAAATAGTTAAACTATCAATCAAAATCACAAACTTTTAAATACTATATTTTCATGTACATTCACTACTTTATCTACTTATAATGTTAGCAAAGTTCCAAGTCTATTTCCCTATCATGAGTTCTGCAGGCCTTGGAACAAAGTGAGAGCTCTAGATGAATGGCCAGCCACACTCCAGGACTATATTATACCTACTCAGGCTCTTCCCTTAAATTAAACATTGGAGTTGGTCTTAATTTGGAGAAGTTTTCTATATAAGAGCATTTGTGCAGAAGAATTTTTATTTTTTCCTTTTACCTGGGTATAATGTCCAACAACATCACTGGGACTTGTTGGTCCTACACCATAGATGAAATTGTTACCCTCATCATACCAGCTTTGAATTGCATTTGGCCAGGCAGTAGGGTTACTTGACATGTAGAGATTCTCACCACACTTTGTACCTAAGAAAGAATAGATCATTCATGAGGAAAGCAATGCAAAAGAAACCAACTATAGAAACACAAAGATGTTGCTCATCAAACACAGTGGCTATGCTTGCTAACTTATCAACTGTAAGGTTGAACAGAAAACAGATCTGCCGCACATTGAAGCTGGCCAATATGCAACTCGTTGAATAGATTGAGAATGTTTTTTTATATCCTATGCCCCCTGGATTGTCAAAGATAAATGCATTTTTCTCATGCTAAATTCTTCATGTGTAATGCCTCGTGTGCTCTCAGCTTTGTATCGTAAGCTTGTGATACACCTTCACCAAAGATTTTTCACAAATAGGATGTTGAATAAATGTTTATGATTACGATTTTGTGTGGACTTTGAAAAGAAACTTTGCAGGCAGTGTTTAAGAGCTCCAATCAACCGGAGGGATGACAGTTTCAAAAAGTGGATTTTCCCTTCATCAATAAATTGGAATGTCACAGGGCCACATCTTCCTCAGAATTAGGCAAGAAGGGCCTTTCAGAGGGTCACATCAGCGGGATGGTGGAGTGGGAAGTTATAGATTCTCCTTCCCCCAATATACACACTCATTCAGCCACAACTCATAAACAAATTGTCCTTTTGTGAAAGCCTCCTTTGCCCTGGGAGAATATGAACTCAAATTCATGGAAACCTGGAGGAAGATTCTCTTGCTAGAATTCCTCTCATCACAGTACCATGTGGTCAGGAAGAGATCCCTTAGCTCCTAGCTTCTCCCAGAGGAGGAAAGGAGTTGGTTCATGTATCTAGCATCTCAGCTTTTCTAAAGGGATTCCCCAGAAAGCTGGCTTCTGTCTTTGTAGTCTTAGAGCTCTGACAGTTAGGCAGAGGCTAGCTGCTGGGGCAGAATGGAGCTGGTGGCTTGGACTCATAGACACCATAAGTCCCCCAGTCCCTACATCACATCCAACTGTGCATAGAGAAAGAAAAAAAAATCCTAAGTTCTCAGCTTTCTCCTGGGGAAGCAAAAAATTATTCAGTATTCCCAATACTCCAGGGATACCCATAGAACTGGCACCTGTCTTGCCAGTTTCAGAGTTACGAAGGGATTGGCATGGTCTTAACTCCTGGGGGAGAACAGAGATAACAGTTACTCAGCTTTCTCCTGGGGAAGCAAAAAATTATTCAGTATTCCCAATACTCCAGGGATACCCATAGAACTGGCACCTGTCTTGCCAGTTTCAGAGTTACGAAGGGATTGGCATGGTCTTAACTCCTGGGGGAGAACAGAGATAACAGTTTGGATTGGTAGATGCCATACCTACAAATTGGTAGGTTTCACTAGCTCAGCACAGAGAAGCAGACCACCCCAAGTTTGCCTGCTTCTTCCTGGGAAAGGAAAAGTTGGTCTGGGCAGCCAATGCCACATATTTTTTAGTAGCTGCCCAGAGGACTGGCTTTTGACTTGCCTGGCTCAGAATGCTAAGAAGACCTAGCTTAATCTAGCTGCCTAGAGATAGTGAGAACAGAGACAGAGATTTAGGCTAGCAGTTGCCATAGCCTCCTTTTCTGGCTCAGCACAGATCAAGCAGACAAAAATCCTAACTCTTAGCCTCTCCCTTAGGAAGGGAAAAGAGTTGGATGGAATATGGCCAAACAGCTATTATTTCTGTGGACTGCCTGAGGGACTGACTAAGGAACTTTTCTGGTCACAATAGACTTGCATAGACATTTCTGCAAAGAAGATGTATGAGCAGCCAACAGGTATATAGAGGTATTCAACATCACTACTCATGAGGGAAAAGCAATTAAAAATCAAGTGAGATATCACCTTACTTCTGTTAAGATGGTTATTATCAAAAGAAGAAAAGACAATTAGTGATGGTGAGGGTGTGGAGAAACTGGAATCCTTGTACACTGTGGGTGAGAATGCAAAATGTTGTAGCTGCTGTGGAAACAGTATGGAGGTTTCTCAAAAAATTTCAAAGTAAAACTAGGAAATGATCCAGAAATCTCATTCCTGAGTATTTATCCAAAAGAACTGATACCATAATCTTCAAGATATTATTAACACTGTCATGTTCATTGCAGCACTATTTACAAAAGCAAAGATGAGGAAACAACCTAAATGTCCACCCAAAGATGAATGGATAAACCAGATATGGTATATACACACAACAGATTATCATTCATCCTTAAAAAGAAAGATAATTCTGCAACATGTGAGAGCATGGATGCACCCAGAGGATTTTATGTTATGTGAAATTAGCTGTCATGGAAAGATAATTAGAGCATGATTTCATTTATATGAAGTACAGAAAACAGTCATATTCATTGAATTAAAGAGCAAAATGGTGGTTGCTGGAATGGGAGAGATTAGGACATGGGGAGTAACTATTAATGAGCATAAAGTTTCAGACAAGCAAGATGAAATAGTTCTGGAGAGCTACTGTCCAACACTGTACTTATAGTCAACAATATGTATTGTACATTTAAACATTTGTTAAAGGGTAGGTCTTATGCTGTGTTCCTCCTGCAACAAAATTTTTAAAAAATTTAAAAAGTGTTCTTGTCATGAGATATAATGAAGAAGAAAAGATGGCAGTATGAGAAGTGAGGCAGAAACCTTCTCCCAAAACCACATATAATATGAAAATAGAGCAAATACAACTAAGCCTGAAGAGCAACTGGAAAGAAGACTGCGACAGACTGCCAACATCTAGGGAAAAGAGAAGACCTCATGGAAAAGGGTAAAGTAGAAAATTCCAAGGTGGAGAGACCCAAGCCCTTCCCCTGCCCAATCTCATAGGCAGGAAGAAGAAAAACTAAGAGTGGAGGGAGTAGAAGCCCAGGACTGCTGAGCTCCCATCCCTAGAGATCTGCTCCAGGAGCACTAACCCACATTACATTGTGCTCTGGGAATTAGTGGGGTTGGAAAGCAAAGGCAGGCAGAACACTCAAGAGAGACTGAGATTCCAGCCACTTGTGGAGAACAGGAACTGACAACTGACCTCTTGGGACAAAAGATGAACACTTTGAAAGACTTCCCAAAAGTGAGAGGGGTGCTAAGGGGCAAGGATTACAAAGAACTCGCTATTCAGGAGAAAGGACAGGGGACAGAATTGTCCCAGCACACTCAACCCAAAAGATTGGGAACTTTCAGGAGCTTCAGGCAATCGATCACCATGGCAGGTGATATGCATCAAGGCCCACCATAGTGATACATAGCCTACTGCGCCTTCCTCCCTGCAGGCATGGGTTCACAAACTTGTTGCTCCTGCCATCGCACCTGGCTAAATCCTATAATTTAGGATTATACCACCTAAAGCAGATACAGGGGCATAATCCAGAGTCTACTCCCTGTGTACTTTGCCTATCGACCCTGACAGTGGAGAGAGGAACTGTAGCCAGGAAGCAGGAAAGAGCTCTTTCCTCCCAGCAGGCCCTGGAGCCACTTGCCTGCGACCCCTGCCATCACTTCAGATGCTGGGAAGCTCCAGAGAGTAGAGTTTCTGGACACTAGAGGACACAGCCTATACAAAGTTATTATTCCATAGTAGTCATCAGAAATATGAAACAGCAAAAGAATATTGTACAAATTACAATCCCTCAAATGCCAGAAAGAGGACTCAGTGAAACTGAAATCACCAATCTCCTTGATAAAGATATCAAAATGAAAATCATAAACATGCTCATGGGGCTACAGAAAAACATTCAAGATCTCAGGGACGACATCAAGAAAGAGATACAAACTTTAAAAAATACAGTATCTGAAATGAAACATACAATGGAGGGATTTAAAAGCCGATTAGATGAGATACAAGAGATGGTAAATGAAACAGAAATTAGATAACAGGGATATAAAGAAGCTGAGGCCAGAGAGAGAAAAGGATCTCTAGGAATGAAAGAATAATAAGAAAACTGTGCGACCAAACCAAATGGAACAATATTCACATTATAAGGGTACCAGAAGAAGAAGAAAGAGAAAAAAGGCTAGAAAGTCTGTTTGAGGAAATAATTGCTAAAAAAAACACCCACAATCTGGGGAAGGAAATAGGCTCTCAAGCCACAGAAGTACACAGATATCCAATACAAGGGAGCCTAGGAGGACAACACCAAGACATATAATAATTAAAATGGCAAAGATCAAGGACAAGGACAGAGTATTAAAAGCAGCCAGAGAGAGAAAAAAGATCACATACAAAGGAAAGCTCATCAGGCAATCATCAGACTTCTCAGCAGAAACCTTACAGGCCAGAAGGGAGTGGCAAGATGTATTTAATGCAATGAAACAGAAGGGCCTTCAACCAAGAATACTCTACCTGACAAGATTAACATTTAAATTTGAAACAGGTTTAAACAATTTCCAGATAAGCAAAAGTTGAGGGAATTTACCTCCCACAAACTGCCTCTATAGTGTATTTTAAGGGACTATTATAAATGGAAGTGCTCCTAACGCTAAATAGCAGTCACAGTGAAAATAATACCACAGTAAAAGAAGTAGATGAATTAATTTCTAAGCAAATATAAAATTAAACCAACTACCTGAAAAGTCAGTCAAGGGATACACAAAGAGTAACATCTAATATGACACCTAATATATAAAGAGTGTAGGAGAAAGAAAAAGAAAAGAACCTTTAGATTGTGTTTGAAAGATCAATAAGTGAGTTGTTAGACTGTTAGAAAATAAAGAAGCTGCCCATGAACCTTTGGTAACCAGGAGTCTAAAGCCTGCAATGACAATAAGTACATATATATTGATAATCACTGTAGATATAAATGGACCGAATGCACCATCAAAAGACATAGAGTTAAACAATGGATAAAAAAGGAAGGTGCATCCATATGTTGTCTACAAGAGACTCACTTCAAACCCAAAGACATACACAGACTAGAAGTGAAGGGATGGAAAAAGATATATCATGCAACTAATAGGGAGTAAAAAGCAGGAGTTGCAGTACTTGTATGTATCAGACAAAATGACTTTAAAACAAAGGAAGTAACAGGAGACAAAGAAGGACATTACATAATGTTAAAGGAGTCAACCCCACAAGAGGATACAACCAACTACAAATATCTATGCACCCAACATAGGAACACCCAAATATGTAAAAAAATATTAACAGAATTAAAGGCAGAAATAGAATGCAATGCATTCATTTTAGGAGACATTATCACATCACTTACTCCAGAGGACAGATCAATGAGACAGAAAATAAGTAAGGAGAGAGAGGCACTGAACAACACACTAGAATAGATGGACCTAACAAACATCTACAGAACTCTACACCCAAAAGCAGCAAGATATACATTCTTCTCAAGAGCATATGGAACATTTTCCAGAATAGATCCCATACTAGGCCACAAATAGAGGCTCAGTAAATTCAGAAGGATTGAAATTGTACCAACCAGCTTCTCAGACCACAAAGATATGAAAGTGGAAATAAATTATGCAAAGAAAACAAAAAAGCCTACAAACATAGAGAATTAGCAACATGATCCTAAATAATCAATGGATCAATGACCAAACAGAAACAGAAATCAAGCAATATATGGAGACAAATTAAAATGACAACTCAACACCCCAAAAAACTGTGAGATACAGTGAAGGTAGTTCTAAGAGGTAAGCATATTGCAATACACACCTACCTCAAGAGAGAAGAACAATCCCCTAATTCAGCATCCATTCATGATAAAAACTCTCAACAAAATGGATATAGAGGGCAAGGACTTCATCATAATAAAGACCATATACAACAAACCCACATTCAACATCATACTTAACAGTAAAAAGCTGAAAGCTTTTCTTCTAAAATCAGGAACAAGACAAGGATACCCATTCTCCCCACTTTCATTCAACACAAAGAAATAAAAGGCATCTAGATTGGTAAGGAAGAAATCAAATTGTCACTATTTGCAGATGACATGGTATTGTACATAAAAACCCTGAAAGAATCCACTCCAAAACTGCTAGAACTAATATCTGAATTCAGCAAAGTTGCAGGATACAAAATTAATACACAAAAATCTGTTGCTTTCCTATATACTAACGATGAACTAGCAGAAAGAGAAATGAGGAAAACGATTCCTTCACAATTGCATCAAAAAGAAAAAAATACCTAGAAATAAACCTAAGTAAGGAGATGGAAGACTGATGCCTTGAAAACTACATGACATTAATGAGAGAAATTAGAGAAGAAACCAATAAATGGAAATACATCCTGTGCTCATGGATAAGAAGAATTAATATTGTCAAAATGGCCATCCTGCCTAAAGCAATCTACATATTCAATGTAAGCCCTACCAAAATACCAACAGCATTCTTCAGTGAACCAGAACAAATAATTCTAAAATTCATATGAAGTCACAAAAGACTCCGAATAACCAAAGCAATCCTGAGAAGGAAATATAAAGTTGGGGATTACATTCCCCAACTTCAAGCTCTACTACAAAGCCACAGTAATTGAAACAATTTGTTACCTGCACAATAACAGACCCATAGATCAATGGAACAGAACAGAGTTCAGATATAAACCTACACATATATGGCCAATTAATACATGATAAAGGAGCTATGAGTGTACAATGGGGAAAAGACAGCCACTCCAACAACTCATGTTGTGAACACTGGCTAACTATATGTAAGTGAGTGAAACTTTATATTGTCTATCTCCATATACAAAAGTAAACTCAAAATGAATCAAAGACCTGAATATAAGTCATGAAACCATAAAACTCTTAGTAGAAAATATATACAAAAATGTCTTGAAAATAAACATGAGCAACTTTTTCCTGAACACATATTCTTAGGTAAGGGAAACAGAAGCAAAATGAACAAATGGGACTACATCAAACTAAAAAGCTTCTGTACAGCAAAGGACACCATCAACTGAACAAAAGGCATCCTACAGTATGGGAAAATATATTTGTAAATGACATATTCAACAAGGGGTTAACATCCAAAATATATTAAAAAATTCACATGCCTCCACACACAAAAAGTTAATTACCCAATTAAAAAATGGGTGGAGGATCTGATAAGAAAATTCTCCAAAGAAGAAATTCAGATTGGCCAACAGGCACATGAAAAGATGCTCCATATTGCTAAGTATCAGGTAAATGCAATTTAAACCATAATGAAATATCACTCACACCACTTAGGATGGCCCAACATCCAAAAGACAAGGAACAAGTGCAGAGGAAGGGGAATCCTCCTACATTGTTGGTGGGAATGCCATTGTGGAAAGCAGTATGGAGGTTCCTCAACAAACTAAAAATAGAAATACCATTTGACCCAGGAATTCCACTCCAAGAAATTTACCCAAAGAAAACAAGATCACTGATTCAAAAAGACATATGCACCACTAAGTTTAGTGCAGCACTCTTTACAATAGCCAAGATATGGAAGCAACCTGTGTCCATCAGTGGATGAATGGATAAAGAATAGGTTGTACATACACACAATGGTATATTATTCAGCCATAGGAAGAAAACAAATCCTACCATTTACAACAACATGGAATGAACTAGAAGGTATTAGGGTCAGTGAAATAAGCCAGGTGGAGAAAGACAAGTACCAAATGATTTCACTCACTTGTGGAGTATAACAACAAAGCAAAACTGAAGGAATAAAACAGCAGCGGACTCACAGACTCCAAGAAGGGACTAGCAGTTACCAATGGGAAGGGATAGAGGAGGGATGGAGAAGGGAATCAAGGGGCACTATGATTAGCACACATAATGTAGGGGGGTCAAGGGGAAGGCAGTATAGCACAGAGAAGACAAGTAGTGACTCTATAGCATCTTACTATGCTGATGGACAGTGACTGCAGTGGGGTGTGTGGGGGGGACTCAATAATACGATTGGATGTAGTAACCACAATGTTGTTCATGTAAAACTTCATAAGATTGTATATCAATGATACTTTAATAAAAAAACAATGAAAAAAAATTGTTCTTGTCACAATAAAATTTTAAAAAATGAAAGAAGTGCATTGCCACCCAGAAAATTTTCTATATCTTTTCAATCCCTCCATTAATATTTATATTTTGGTGGCTTGAAATATAATTTCTACATACTGTTTAAAATTTAAATACTCCTGAATATAAAATATTGGGCTTGCTCATATGTATATCATGGTGGATAATGTAATTAATATTTTATGTAAAGTTCATGTATAAATGTTTTTTCTCATAGTTTTTATAAACTTTGATAAAATACATCTTACAGTTTTTGAGTCTAATATATTATTCTATATGTGGTAGGCACATAGTCCATATAAAATACTTGACTATTATTGAAAGTTAAAAAATGAGCACTCCTTAACGAAACATTCATCCCGCTGAATGTGTTTAAAGCAAAATTCAGGAGCAATTCAACATAATGCAATATATTTTATAAATGCAAAACAAATAGCTTTCAAGCACCAAACAGGCACACATCACAAAAACAAAGGACAGTGGGTTAGAGAAAGTAGGAAGCCTGTTTGTCTTTCCAATATATGACACCACTTCCAGTTTTGCTCTTGGGTAAGGCATTCTTCCCATGTCCTGGTTTTCTAATCTTTAAAGTTGGAAAAATGACAATACATAACCCATTTACTCATGAGCTGGTTGAGAGAAACAAATGGATTATTGCTTGAGGAATTTTTTGCATAATGATAATGGACAAGCACCACATTGTACCTATCAAAATTATCTGTTTGTATACAGATACTTTGATTTTATAAAGACAGCCATATAAACAACATTTATTCACAAAGTCTTAATGCAATGTCCAAGAATGGTCCTTATTTTATTTGTCCAATATTATTTTATTGTTCATTTATTTAGCAAATATTTAGTAGTTTACATACTGGTTTTTCGTTCTTCTGGGTTACTGTGATGTAATGTGCACTTGTTTGCCCACCTTTGGGCATTTGCTGTTGTTTCTCCGCTCCATTCCTAAATGTTACAAGAAAAAAATACAATTAAAGGCTCAACAGCAATGAAGCATATTCTTTATAATTTGATTGGTAGGTTGATTTACAATGGTTTAAACTTTTGTAGAGGTATTATCTGTTATCACTGGTATGAAAATATCTTTGTGTGTGTTTATCTGCCCCAGCGCCAGCTTCCACATGAAGAATGGTCCACAAAAGATCATTTAATGAGAGAAATGTAATATAATAATATCTAACTATTTATTTTAGCACAGCAGCCACACCCAAGATTTTTAGTAATGGTGCTACTGTGAATATTGATCAACATGTGATGTATCCTAATTATACTTCAATAGTAATAAGCTGGTCTAGATTATTCCCAATATTATTTGTGGCCCATGCATTCATATGGGAGATATACAGCCTTTATGGACTATATGCTGGAAAGTGGGCTGTTATTGACCCTCTGTGGAACTGCTCCTGAAAGAAAGAGTATGGCTTTATTTTAGACTAGGAAAGATAACTAACAAAAAAATGTAATGGCTGCATTATGATGTCTGAAGATTTGACTTCTACTGCCTTCCTATCTTCCATTATAAAGGAGAATAAATTTCTGAAAGGAAATAGTAAGATAGAGGCAGAACTTTGTTAAACACAACATTCTTAAGCAATGCTCACTCCCAGCTGTCTGCTCTTAGCACTGCTAGTTCACACCACTATGCTTGTATTACTGCCTTTTACCATTTTTAGCATGTTGCTGGCAGGTGGAGAGACCGATTTCCTCAGTTCATTGTGTTTATTTACAATCTCTCTTTGCACTTGTGTTTGATTGGTTAACAAAGCAGTAAAGGCTGGATCCTAAATGAAAATAAAATTAAGGTTATTTTTAAACTTTTTTGAAAGTTGCATTTAAGAGTAAGTTAATTCAAAGGAACAGAGAAGACTTTAAAAAACATTCAGTTCAAGCCAATATTAGCTGGTTATCATTGCCAATGAATCTGAGCTCAAACTATGACAAATAGGAAAGAAGTACTTTGAAGCTTTGAGAGTGGGATTGTAATTCAGTGTGTGACTAAAATCCCCTCCAAGGCTGCAAGTGACAGTTTCTAGATTCAAGAGAACTCTTAACAGGTTTTCTAGATATATGAGTGATGATATCACATAATTACAAAGAAACCCAATAGGAACAGTAAGGCACATTCATTCACTTTTGGTCATGCTGCTTCAGTGGGGGGGATAAGGGTGGAGGTCGAGATTCATCCTGGAGTGTAAGGGGAACTTTGACCTGACATAATCTCTGTTTTTAGAGAAAGAATGTATTTATAGAAAGAATGTTTAAGTTCAGTCAAAGTGCATTCAGTACTCTTATAAAATGACTTTACCTATTATGGGCAGATTTATGAAGTCGTACAAAAGACAGTTTTGCAATATTTAAAGAAATCTCCAAGGCAGTTTGAAGAAAGCAAAACCATCCTATTAAAGGACTATGGCTGCAGTTGTTCCTTTTAGTAACAGAATATAATTGATAAGGTATTTATTCAGGTGAGGATATTTTTGGCTTATCTTTGTGGTGTAAGGGTATGTGGGTTTCCTACAGGTCTAAGCAATTTGATGGCCTACATTTACAAAAGAGTGTGATATTTTATGGGACTGATCAAAATTCTGCAGTATAAGTCTGATCAGAGAAGGTCATCTGTTGATTTTCACTGATTTTGTCACTTTGGGATAAATTACCTTCTCATCCCTCAAATTCGGTGCATTGGTATGAAGTACCTTCTCTTCCATCAGATCTGGCACAATGGGTTGAGTTACCTTCCCTTCCATCAGATCCGGCACAGTGGGTTGAGTTACCTTCCCCTCCATCACATCTGGCACGGTGGGTTGAGTTACCTTCCCCTCCACAAGATCCGGCACAATGGGTTGAGTTACCTTCCCCTCCGTCACATCTGGCACAATGGGTTGAGATACCTTCCCCTCCGGCACAATGGGTTGAGTTACCTTCCCCTTCAGCACATCCGACACAATGGGTTGAGTTACCTTCCCCTTCGGCACATCCGGCACAATGGGTTGAGTTACCTTCCCCTCCGGCACATCCGGCACAATGGGTTGAGTTACCTTCCCCTTCGGCACATCCGGCACAATGGGTTGAGTTACCTTCCCCTCCATCAGATCCGGCACAGTGGGTTGAGTTACCTTCCCCTCCGTCACATATGGCACAATGGGTTGAGTTACCTTCCCTTGCATCATGTACGGCACAATGGGTTGAGTTACCTTCCCTTGCATCATGTACGGCACAATGGGTTGAGATACCATCTCACCCATCAGATATGGCACTCTGGGATAAGTTATCTTCCTATCCCACAGATTCAGTGTATTCCCAAAGAATAACCCCTAAGTTAGAAAAAATGCACATGTGACATATTATCAGTGGCCAACCTCTGCATTACATCAAAGCATAAAATAACATCCCTGGATATGTCCTATTAATATATCAAAAGCCTACTTAAAATAGTTTCATTTCAAAACATATTGAAATTTGGTCCCTGAGAAAGAAGTAATTGTTTCCTGCTTCTCACCCCATCTTGCTTTGTAGTTAAAAACTACTAAAGATATGCCTTTGTGTTTTCTTTTAAATGAGTTTCAATAAAGCTTTCTTTAGACAGCAGGAAATATAAAAAGTACTGAGAACAAAGCAGATCAAATATGGTATTTATCTATCCTTAAAAGATTTATATTGGATATTCAGTATGACAAAAATAAATAATCACATAGTGCATGAAAAGTGAAATGATAGGAGGGATGACTATATATAAAAGGAGGGATCAGTTCTTGACTGAGCTTAGGGAAGGCTTCACAAAAGATGATCTGGATTGAGGTTTTGAAAGGTACATAGTGCTTTCTAGGCATCTTGAAGAGGCTCTGAAAGCTGAGCAGAGGGAATGGAGAGCATGTGATCAGCAAACTTGTAGTGCAGCAGAAGACCAAAATGATATCTTCCTTTTAGATAATTTCAAAAACCAAGACCAGAAGATGGAGCAGAGAGGAGCAAGGGATTGGAAAGAGCCATGAAGGGAAATGTTTAGGCAGGAAAATGGGAAGAGGAACTATTTGAATGAAGCTGTAGGTGATGCATAAAGCGTCTTCAATGAGATTTGATTTTGGTAACATAATGTGTTTCTGAATGCCAGTGAGGTATGACCCAATGTCACATTTCTCGGTCTGAGGAGTTCTAGCTAATCATGTATGTTCAGAGTTAAAAGAGGGTGAGGAAAAGACAGCAAAGACCAAAGTTCCTCCCATTCACAAGTTTTCTGATCAGGACATAGGTGCCTTAGGGGCACTGAAGAGGATGATTGCTTGTTTTCCTAGGATTATTAAAGTGAAGCATATTAGATATGAGAGTATCTTATCTCATACATACGAATTGTAACACCTTGAAAAAAATCCAAATGCTTAAGATCTTTAGTCAATTTACTTTTTTTATAATTTAAAAAACAGGTATAATTATTTTCATACACTAAAAATATGATGGGTGTGAAGATATGTTGCTAATTTGGGGATATATAAATACATAGCATTAATTTTTTGTGGGGATAACATTTAAATAGATTAAACAAAAGGAAATCAGAAATGACCTTGGAATAGAAGGAGTTTCATCAGCTTTTTAAATGCATAGAGCAGTGCTGTCAATAAAAATATAACCATAGTATTACTTGTAATTTTAGCTTTTTAGTGGCCACTTCAAAAAAGGAAAAAAATGAACAGATTAAATTGCTATTTGTAATATACTTAACTTATATATTCAAAATGTAATCAGTATTAAAATTATTAAAGAAATATTTTATCCCCCTTTTTTTAACTGTCTTAAGTCTGCTCTGCATTATGTTTATGCAGATCTCAATTTAAACTATCCATATTTCCAGTTGTCTGTAACCACATGTGGCTTGGGGCTATGATATTGGTGACCACAGCATTAGACTTACTTGTGTTAAGTACTCAAGCAACCTTTTGATGTACCGGACTCTAGCCCTTTTTAGTTTCGAAAATTGATCTCGCAGCCTGCTAGTTCTCAAGGCTACTTGAATCATTCTGAAAAGAATTTCAACCTGGACCATACCTGTCCATTTGCAGGAAAGAACGGAAGCAAGACAGCATTCAGGAACAGCAACACTGGCAACAGCGCCATCGCTGGGGAAACAAAACAATGGGAAAAAAGAGCTGAGCTGGGCTGTTTAATGCATGAACTTCTGAGGAACACGGTGGGGGGTTTGGGGGACAGGGAGGGAAATGAAAGAAAGCAATGAAATAGTGTTGATTACCCCAAATTTATTAGCAACATAAGAAGAAAAGATGTGTTACATGGTGACAGTAGAATGATAATAGATTAAATCAGTGTTAGTAGCTTTGAAAGTTCAGGTACATGCAAAAAATTTGAAAGCAACAAAAATGTTGAAGC